GGAGATAGTGTGCTTAGGGAGTACAAGTACTTTACTACTTCGAACTCTCCTATCTACAAGGATACCGATTTGAATGTGTGGTTCAACGATAAAATCCTAAGACCAATTCTTGTCGAGTTAGAGGAATTCCAGGAGAGAGATTCAGGCTGGGCGCTAAAGAACATTATTAATCTGGGGGTGAACATCAACAAGTTTACTCCTCAACTTGGATCATCCTACATTGAATTACCCACTCAGATGAAGCGGAAACAAGCTTGTATCAACGTCAAAAACGAAGATGAATTATGTTTTGCTTGGGCGGTAACATCTGCTTTGTATCCTGCTGATTGGAAAAATAGTGATCGAACATTCTCGTATCCTCATCCGTCTACTGTCTTGAACCTCAAGGGCATTCAGTTTCCCATGACAGTCAAGCAGATTCCTCGCTTTGAAAAACAAAATGACGTATCAATAAATCTCTATATCCTACAGAAGAAATCCAAAAACTTTCAGACTCTTCCCACATACTTGACGAAGGAAAAGAATGACAGACATATCAATCTTCTACTCATCCAGGATCAATACTTCAATGAAAAAGATGCTTGCGAAAAGCTTTCATCCCCTATCAAGTACCATTATTGTTGGATAAAGGATCTATCCAGACTGCTATCTTCTCAGCTGAGCGATCATAATGGACGTAAATTCTTCTGCGACCGCTGTCTCCATTACTTCCGCACTGCCGAAAAACTCTATAAACATGTTGAGAATTGCGTAAGAATGAATGATACTGCAATCAGAATGCCGGAGGAGAGCAAGAATATTCTGAAATTCAAGAACCATAAGAACAAAGAGAAAGCTCCATTCATGGTATATGCTGATTTGGAGTCTGTTTTGATGAAAACTGATGATTCGAAGAAGCCTCAGCTCCACGTTCCAGCTGCCGTAGGATACTTTATGAAATGTTCATATGACGATTCTCTTTCCTTTTATCGCTCATACCGAGGGCAGGACTGTATGGCGTGGTTCGCTGATGAGCTCAACCAGTTGGCTGAGGATATGTCTACGGTGTTTTTATGTCCATACAACATCGACATGACCGCTGAGCAGGAAGTTGAGTTTCAAAGAGCTAAACGTTGTCACATTTGTGAACAACCTTTTGGACCTGATGATAAGAAAGTTCGCGACCATACGCATCTCATTCCGGAAAAAAATTATAGAGGTCCAGCGCATGAAAGCTGTAATATTCGGTACCAGGACAGCCATGTGGTGCCTGTTGTGTTTCACAATCTGAGTGGATATGATGCAAATTTCATCATTGAGGATATAGCATCTAAAATGCAGGGTCGGGTTGATTTGTTGCCAATCACCAGAGAAAAATATATTTCCTTCACCAAATACAATGAAGATTCACGAATAGGCTTCCGCTTCATCGATAGCTTTCGATTTATGAATTCTTCTCTGGATATGTTGGCATCATATTTAACCGAATTTCCGAACTTGATGTCTCAATTCTCTAACATCACCGAAGATCAGCTCCAGCTTCTAACTAAGAAAGGTGTGATGCCGTATGACTATATCGACTCGTTTCAACGCTTCAATGAGACGCAGCTACCACCAATTGATGCTTTCTTCAACAAACTGAACGAAAAACCCTGTCCACGCAGACATTATCTGAAAGCCAATCTTGTGTGGAATGAGTTCAATTGTCAAGACTTGGGACAATATGTTGACATCTACATGAAGACTGACATCATGTTGTTGACCGATGTTTTCGAAAAATTCCGAACCAGCTGCCTCAGAACTTACAATCTTGACCCTGCACACTATTACACCCTACCAGGATTCACTTGGGATGCTATGCTGTATAAAACCGGCCAAGAACTGGAGCTGCTTACGGATGTGGATATGTTTCTATTTGTTGAACGAGGAATTCGTGGAGGTCTCAGCCAAATTTGTTCGAAACGAAGAGCTAGGGCAAACAACAAGTTCATGCCTTCATATGATTCATCAAAGCCTGACTCATATTTAATGTACTTTGACGTTAACAACCAGTACGGTTGGGCTATGTCTCAGGCATTGCCATATGGAGGATTTGAATGGGCCGACACTAATCTTGATGTTACAACCGTTGCTGATGATGCTTTAGAAGGATACTTTTTAGAAGTTGACCTAGAATACCCACGACGCCTTCATGATTCCCACAAAGACCTACCTTTCTGCTCAGAACACATCAATCCAAAAACTATGAAACCTCCGACGAGACCTTCTCAACACACCAAGCTGATGGCGACGCTGAATAATAAGGAGAAGTACATCATCCACTACCGAGCCCTCAAACAAGCGCTGGAGCATGGGTTGGTCCTGACCAAAATTCATCGTTTGCTCAAATTTCAGCAATCTACATGGCTCAAATCATATATTGATCTGAATACGAGTTTGAGAAAGGCTGCTAAAAATGAATTCGAGAAAAATTTATTCAAGTTGATGAATAACGCTGTCTTTGGGAAGACTATAGAAAACATCCGGAAGAGAATTAAAGTTAAGCTTCTAACGAAATGGGAAGGAAGATATGGCGCTGAAGCATGGACTTCAAAGCCAGAGTTCAAGAACTGTACTATATTCAACGAGAATTTAGTTGCTGTTGAGCTGAAAAAACTTGAAGTATATCTCAATAAGCCCATTTACGTTGGTCAAGTAATTCTCGATCTAGCCAAAACCACTATATATGGCTTCCATTACGATTATATGATGAAAGAATTTGGTAATGATTGTTCTGCTTGCTACACCGACACAGACTCCCTCATCTATGAGCTCCATAAAAATCCGTATGAAGTTATGAGGCGAGATTGCCACACCCACTTCGATACGTCTGACTATCCTGAAGATAATATTCATGGAATTCCTCAGGTGAACAAGAAGGTTCTAGGAATGATGAAAGATGAGAATTGTTCTGTCATAATGATGGAATATGTAGGTCTACGATCAAAATTATACTCTACAAAGGTGCTGGTAACTGATGATGATTTTGAGAAGAAGAGGGCAAAGTTACGGGAGGGAGATTATGATGAGGACGAGATTAATAATATTATAATGAATATGGGTGTTGCAAAGAAAGCGAAAGGCGTGAAATCGTCTGTTGTTAAAACAGCTATCACTTTCGAGGATTACGTCGACTGTCTGGAAACACACGAGCATAAGAAGGTTTCTCAAATTTTGATAAGAGCGAAAAAGCACCAGGTTCATTCCATAATTCAAGATAAAATCGCTCTCAGTTCAGAAGATGACAAGAGGTATATTGTACCAGGATCCTGCGAAACTCTTCCATGGGGGCACTATAGTATAATGGAGACTTGAAACGTCAACTGCTAATTATAGTTTATATTATATGTATATATGTTCTTTACCTTTTATTTTATACCAATATATTTTAAAAAATCGTATTGAGTTTAATTTCCACATCCTGTGTTAGCTATAATTAATAGTCCTGATGATAATTTAGTAAATAGCAATTTGTTATTGATGGGCGTTTTGACTGCTGGTTGCAGGTAGTTCTAACGTTTCATGCTTCCTGACTTCACATTCTGCGATTTTTTTTTGGGTGATCACATGGTCTAGATGACCTTGAATTTGTGAGATTCGATTTGAACCCATGGGTTGGTTTCAGAATTTTTCTTCAGTCTGTATGATAGAGGTTTTTGGACTCACCCTGTTTTCATTTGACTCGACGACCGTTTTCGGTATTTCTGACCTTAAATTTTCTTATGGAGATTTACATGGGAAAAGTGGTCGAAATGAGGCCGTGCTCTCCTAGTATATTTACTACAGACCAATCAGAACCATGGAACTGCATTAATGATAATTAGGAAGAGTCCCTCTTATCCTGATATCTATTATGGAACCTCCGAACAACGAACCCCCTGTATGATCGAAGTATGGAACAAAATAAAAACGGTATTGAAGTTTGATGCGAACAGCCCTTCTGCCCCAAATAAGTTTCAGAAATATATTCTGAGAATTGAAAGAGATCGAACGGCATAAATAAATATCAAAAACTTGAGGATAGTAAATTTGGTCATAATGTCGATATTTTCTCTAGTTTATGGACAATCTCGGTCTTTTGAACTTTGATTGATCACCTGGGTCATAATCAACTGCATTTCGAAGAAGCTGATTCTCATGAACCTCAGCTGTTTTCGAAAGTCTTGATGTTTCGTTCTCTAATGACTGCCACGATTGAAGGGAGTTTCAGATCCCTGGTGATCTGGTTATTCCGAAAATACCAAAGAGATCCTGTCACCATTCTCTCGTGTTTGTAATCTGGTGATATGAGATTAAGCTGTGTGGCCCCAGACTACTGAGGCATACACTAAAATTGGCCTGATAGCCATGATATAAATATTCAATTTTTTTCTCAAACCCAATTTACTTCGTCTGTTTAGAAATGGATACAGGGCTCCAATGGCTCGTTTAGCTTTTGAAATTTGATGTGCTGGGCCCAGGTGAGCTTTTTGTCAATGCACACACCTAAGTATTTAACTTGTGAAGACCACTCTAACTCATGACCATCCAGGACTATTCTGATTCTGGGAGGCCTCCTCTCCCTTTCGAGTGCGACCAATTGTGTTTTTGTAGGATTCAATTTGATCTTCCATTTTAGGAAGTACTCCTGAAGAGAATTCAGTGCGCTTTGGAGGTTCATAGCTGCTTGCTCGAAATTGGTCGAATATGCAAGAACTGCCGTATCATCAGCAAAAAGCGACATCTTGCACATCACTGGTCTCGGAAAATCGCTAGTGTATAAACTGTACAACAGCGGAGATAAAAATGCACCCTGAGGAATACCAGCTTCAATGGGCTTGATACCATAGATCGTTGATCATCAAGTTTTACTTGAAAAGTTCAATTTTTCAGAAATGAACACATCAACTGAATCAGATTGTCAGGGGACAGAGTCGTTCCCGAAACGTCCAAAGATAAGTGAAATTCAAATATTTTTCACGAACGTTCTCCATTCATTCTAGGATTGCCATGGAGTACCGAAAAGCCAAGGAAGCTCACCAGTAAGAGACGAAGTCGACAACTACACGTTGATGAGGGGAATTCAAAATGACACTCACACCATCATCGAATTCAGAAGAGCCTTCGATACCTGTGATCCAGACGATTATATTCTATCGGTAAGTACACTATTCAATAACCTCACCTATATCTACCCCTTCATGAACTTTTATGATACGTCGCTGGCGCGTTTTCATCGGATCTATTCCTGTTTTCCCTCTCTTCGCCTATCATTGTTCCATCTAAGTAGCGACTGAACTCTATTATAGCAAAACTCGAACTAAACTAACCCATGGTTTTTGGAACTAACAATTATTCTATTCAATTTCATAGGCGGATACAGTTAGGGTGATATGGGCGCTGCATGATAACGATCCTCAGAGGGGTGCCGAAATGGTTTACCACGACGAACACAGGGGATCGCAGAGCATCCACCTCCTTGGTCCACCACCAGTGCCCAAAATGCCCATCGGTCATTCCAGGCATTGGGATGTTGTTTTCGAAAAAGTAAGTACCTATTTATTTTGCACGAATTTTTTTGATTGATAAAAATATCTGACAGTATTTTAAATGATTCCGATTGATTTCGATTGATTTCGATTGATTTCGATTGATTTCGATTGATTTCGATTGATTTCGATTGATTTCGATTGATTTCGATTGATTTCGATTGATTTCGATTGATTTCGATTGACTCCGATTGATTTCGATTGATTTCGGTTGATTTCGGTTGATTTCGGTCGATTTCGATTGATTTCGATTGATTTCGATTGATTTCGATTGATTTCGATTGATTTCGATTGATTCGATTCTGATAGATTCTGATAGATTCTGATAGATTCTGATAGATTCTGATAGATTCTGATAGATTCTGATAGATTCTGATAGATTCTGATAGATTCTGATAGATTCTGATAGATTCCGATAGATTCTGATAGATTCTGATAGATTCTGATAGATTCTGATAGATTCTGATAGATTCTGATAGATTCTGATAGATTCTGATAGATTCTGATAGATTCTGATAGATTCTGATAGATTCTGATAGATTCTGATAGATTCTGATAGATTCTGATAGATTCTGATAGATTCTGATAGATTCTGATAGATTCTGATAGATTCTGATAGATTCTGATAGATTCTGATAGATTCTGATAGATTCTGATAGATTCTGATAGATTCTTATAGGGTCTGATAGATTCTGATAGACTGACAGCTTCTGATAGATTTTGAAAGATTCTTCTGATAAATTCTGATAGATTCTGATAGATTTTGATAGTTTCTGATAGATTCTAATAGCTTCTGATAAATTGATTGTCCTCTGATTTCAGTTGAAAGTTCCCAACGAGATGACGACCATGTACTGGTGCAAAATCTTCAAACCGCCCACCCTCAACACCAAGCACCATATAGTCGGCTTCGAGCCGCTGATCGGCCGACAGCACGTCGGCATGGTGCACCACATGATCATGCACGAGTGCCAGCTGGGCCCACAGGACGACACGGGAGTTTGGGAGGAGTACTCCAAGGAGGAGGGCAGGCTGTGCTACTCGGACATGCCGCCCTTGTGGGACAAGTGTCTGACGCCGCTGGTCGCTTGGGCTGTGGGGTCCAAAGGTGAGAGGAATAGTTTGTGAATACTCAAAGTTTCTTTAATTATTTGATTTTTGTTGTTTCACATAAAAATGCTCATTGATTCTGGTAAACTTTCAAGGTTTTCCAATGCTTTATATAGATTTGTATTGATTATGTTTCTGATTGATTGTAATAGATTTTAGTCGATTCCCATCAATTCTCATCGATTCTCTTGGAGAAATTCTGATGGTTTTTGATAGATTCTGATGAATTATTGATTTGGATCATCAATTCAGAAAATTACCAGCAATTCTCACCTACTCCCATTGATTCCTATTGATTCTTATTGATTCTTACATTCATAATAATATACTATTCTGTGGGTGTATGTAAAATTTCAGTGATGAAATTCTATTCTTATTGATTCTTATTGATTCTTATTGATTCTTATTGATTCTTATTGATTCTTATTGATTCTTATTGATTCTTATTGATTCTTATTGATTCTTATTGATTCTCATTAATTCTTATTGATTCCTATTGATTCTTATTGATTCTCATCTATTCTTATTACTTCTAATTGATTGTTATTGATTCTTATTGATTCTCATTGATTCTTATTTGTTCATATTGATTCCCATTGATTCCCATTGATTCCCATTGATTCCCATTGATTCTTATTAAGTCCACTCCACTGCTACTCGGGCATTCCTGGTGTGAGAAATAGTATGAGTATAGACATAGTTTCATAGGTTGGTTGATTCGTTGGAAGCATTGAAGAGGCCCGTTGTCTCTTATAAGCTGAACTAAATATACTGGGTTATCTGGCCCTATTATAAGTTCGTATCGCAGAACAAAGCATATGCTTCACACTCCAATGGGATCATCAGGATTACTCATCATCTGTCTGCATCAACTAACACTTCGCCAAATATGTCATCCATATATGTATTGTGTTTTTGATCCCTTATGCCGATTTTCCTTATAAATTCCTATCAATTCCCATTGATTCTCTTCCATCTTCATAGTTTCCGATGGATTCTGATCTTGTAGATGAATGATGATGATGAATTTCCTTCGATTTTGATTGATTCTGATCTATGCTATCCCTTCAACAGTAACAGCTTTGAAGGTCTCATTAAGCAACATAGAATTATCATCCTGTTTTGAATGCTAAAGATATCCTGATTTTGCAGGTGAGAATTTTCCTAGCCACGTAGGTTTGCCTCTCAACAACAAGAAGAACTCCTTCTACATGCTCGAGGTTCATTTTGACAATCCGGCTATGAAGAGTTCGGAAGACACCAGCGGCCTTCGAGTTCATTATACCAGCGAATTGAGGGAAAATGAGGGAGGTATCCTCCTCACTGGGGTTGCTCCGTCGACGATGCATCTGATACCTCCTTACCAGGATGAATACAAAACGGCTGGATATTGCAGCATCGATTGCACCAAAGAGGTGTGTTCATGTATATTTTTTATTTTATGAACTTCATTTGACCCATTGCACATTCGCCATACTAATTTGTTATTTGTTTTAGGTTATGCCAAAAGATGGTATCAATGTTGTTTCTGTCATGCTTCATTCCCATCTTGCTGCTAGGAAACTGAGATTGAGGCATATCAGAGCTAAAAAGGAACTCACTCCTCTTGCGGAGGTAAGATTCAAATGCATTGATTAGTTAATCTATATGGAAACAGTTAACCAATGGGACACAAACAGGATGTTCTCGAAGTTGGGGCATTTCTAAAGGGATTGAGAACTAGTCACAATAAACAAAATCCCCAAGAATATTACGGTCATGGTATATTTATGATTTCGGGTGCTACAGGCCTTTCCACATGTCCTCCTCTTTGTTCCTCCAAACAAACTCCAATGCTGCTGCTGCACTTCCGGCGACACTCGCCATAAATCAACAGCATGTAAACTAGTTCAATATTTTCCTGAACGTGCTACATTTTTGACAATGCACAGAAAAATTTATTGAGAAAGAGAATAGAGGTTCCCACGAGTAGCGTTAGACTCACAATTCTACTACTACTTTACTGTGGACGGTAGGTGAGGGGATAAGGGGGCAAAAGATTAGCAGATTTGTATATAAGTAATTCAAATGAATTCTACACCTGGATAAAATGCCTCACCTTTGATAGTATATCGTCAGGTCATTGTCATTCTAAATGAAAACCTAGTTATTTATAGTAGGCGAAAGGTATACCTGCATGCCTGTCAATGGCGCTAGTTTACTGAAAGCACCAAGAGCTCATTTGTTCCGATAGAATATTTGTCAAAATGAACAATTTCAGATTGAAGTTTTCAAAACGTCAACTCAGACAAAACTTACAATCCAATATTGATTTGATTTTTAATGGCAAATTAGTTGTTGGTTTGTTGTTTGTTGTCTTCTACAATAGGTGGGGGTATGTAAATTCTTTAACACTCCTTTCTTAACGATCACGTGAATTTGAGGAAACATGCAATGACTTCCAACATCAGGTTAGACTTTTTATTTGAGTTGCCTACTTAGGTATTATTCATTTTATGATGAATTGATATTCCAGGAATGATAAAAATAATGGTAATAATAATAATAATAATATTAATCAATGGCTTTATAATTTTCAGCACATCTAGTAGTTATAGGAGAGTAGAAATATATCAAACGAAAAATAAAAGCCCAAGTTCACCACTTAACCCTAAAATGTCTCAATATATCAGACAGAGGGAATACGTTTCTTCTAATAAGTAAGAGCTAATATGATACCTAATTTTAAATCATTGAAATTTTTCATTATTCAAACTCAACTTTCAGCATGAGTTTGAGCCTGGTTTTGAACTCTGAAGATAATGTAGTAAGTTTCAATATTAGAGTAAATAAGCAGTTCCTATACCTATAATTCTTATTAGCTTGCATGCATGCCGCCATTTCGTTAAAGTGCCAACAGTCATATGTTTTATTACAGCACTGCGATGAGTTTCCATAGTTCCTACTTGAATTCAAATAATATCAATTGATCGTGAATTTTATCATTGCATAAACAGCAGTTTCTTCTTCGTTAAACATCCTGCTTTTCTATTATTTGGTGTAAGTAGGTACACTTAGAATAAGAAATGTTCAATTACAAACTTCACAGAAAAGAAGTCACTAGCTTACTAAAATCGTGGCCAATGAGGGCGATTTTGGCCTACTAACTAGGTTCTCATCTAGAACTACAATGGTCAGCTGCTCATATCAGACTATAATTCACATAACTATACTGAATATAATTATGTTGGTTGTTATCCTCCCAATAACCACGATTTACCGGATTTTGCAGGACAACTACTACGACTTCAACTACCAGCAGTCCCGCCCCTTGTCCCAGGACACGCCCATACTACCCGGTGACGCCCTTATCACGGAGTGCACCTACTCGACCGCCCAACGAGCCACGCCCACCCTGGGCGGGTACTCCACCAAGGACGAGATGTGTCTGGCTTTCGTGTTGCACTATCCGCGGATCGAGTTGGCTGGGTGTTATTCGATTCCTCCGGTCAAGTCCTTTTTCGAAGCGTTGGGCGTGAGGGAGTTCTACGGGAAGGATATGAGCGATATCGAGAAGGCTCTGCTAGAGGGAAAGTGAGTTGGAAATGTTATGGGTCTGTCTCAGTGGAATATTGTTTTTCATTATTTCGAAGCACTAACCCAAACTAGTTCATTGTCGCAAACCGTCTTTTCCCCAGAGCTTAGATAATCATTGAAATTTACGATATTTTGTAACATGAAAAACGCGTGGCGTAATCAATCGAAAAATTCTCCTTGTCTGTAAGACAAGTGCAAGAATATTTCTGATCAATTTTCTGGACTGAATACTCACTTAAGATAACAGAGAACCCATCACACAACTGAAGAATCAGATAATAAAAGGAATATCTTTGAATATTCGCATCTTGACTAGATGAATCTAGGATTTGAAGATGAAGGAGACGTTAGGAAGTTAGGTTGAAAATGTAGTTAGTCTTCTCTTCTGGTATTACTGGGGACTCTAGTCATTACGATGTTGCCAGTGCTAAAAAATAATTCGGTTTTTAAATAAAATCTCGATCATTATTAGGAATACTAGGATATTTTTATTGATAACTGATGCATCTTACATGTATATGAGTATTCAATAAGTGATTGTTAGGTCAAACTATTGTCTTCTGTGAATGTGAATATTGTTATCATTCGTCATATTGAATTCCATAAGGTAATTACTAGTTACAAATCTGGCAGCGTCGGAATATGGAGTCCTACTTTATATGCAAAAGCCAGAATTCAGATAACGATGACTTTCTGTTCTGTTAATGACGTCATCGAAGCTGGCGTTTTTCGAAGGTTCCAAATTTCATTATTGATATAAACATATTTGCTATGATTTCAAATAACAAATGATTGCACCGAATTCTATTTATACACGGAAATATCAATATGAAATAGGTTTGTGTCGTAAATTCGACTAGTGTGTACAATCTCAGGCTATTTCTTTTGCGGAAAGGGCTTCACATTCTACTGCAGTTCACATAGAACACAACACACAACTAGAGAATCAGATAATAAGAGGAATATCTTTGAATATTCGCATCTTCACTAGATCAAAAAAGGATTTGAAAATGTAGGAGACTTTAGGAAGTTAGGTTGACAATTTCGTTCGTATTCTTCTTCTCTTACATCGTATTACTGGAAGCACTAGGCATTATATGTTGCCAGTGCCACAGAATAATTTGTGTTTAAATAAAATCTCGATCATGATTACGAATACTATATAGAATATTTTTATTGGTTTTGAAGCATCTTGCAAGTATATCAGTATTCAATGAGTGATTATTAGGGACCAGGTCAAACTATTGTCTTCTATGAATGTGAATACTGTTGTCATTGGTCATATTGAATTTCATGAGGTGATTAAAGAGCATTTTTCTGAAGAAACATATTATCCAACTCGGCATCAATAGCTCATGATGAAAAATTAACAAACCTCTAAAGTATAATAACATAACTTTTAGAAATCAACTTATTGAACTTACAAGTTATTGTAAGGTGCATAACACATTGAAAAAATCGAATTTTTCGAATATTAACCCACATAGCACTCGACGTTCTAGGGACGTCCATTTTAGGTCCGATTTAGGTTTGAACGTCCGAGACCACCTATTCAAGTTGTACTGAAAATGTCAATTTCTAGAAGTTCTGGGTACGTACGATTCCTATGTACTGAATACGTCCAACTCTGGATGTTATCGACTTTTTGTGGACGGGATCGAATAAATTGTATAATGATAATTGAAATTATTGCATATAATTTTTACCCTCGATCTCTGATATCTATTAATGTAGGAACATGAACATAATACAACTCTCACAATTCAATTTTCACTGGCCGTACCTAATCACAAAACAACTATTTAGGTATTCTCTGCCGTGATCATCTAATTCTATGAAATTATCAATGTGAAGGGTCAATCGACATTCGCACATAATCTCTTGTTCAATGTTGTATAGTCTATGCCTAGTAATCTAAAGGTCCTGGGATCGATTCCCGGTAGGAGCGCGTTTTTTTCAAAATTTTATCTAGAGTAAGATCTTTTCTACACTGTCTAGATCTCTCTTTTAACTATCTGAGCGAAAAAAGGCGAATTTACGTTGATTCAGGTATTCATGGTCCTGAATGGACGTACTGTGGATGTACAAATGCGCAGAAATTGGACGTCTCCAATACGTACGAAACGTCTTGGCCGGAAGATCTCAGTACGTTTTGGGGACGTACTGGTGATCGACAATCCGATTTTTTTTATTTCTGACCCAGTCGAAATGTGAAAAAGTGAAAAGGTTTTTTTTTTCAGAATGGACTCTGAAACAGTAGCCACTACAACTCCCAAACCTTTCATCAACAAACCAGGGGACGAACTGTCTGCAGAAGCAAATAGAAGGGCGATCATCGCCCTGAGGAATGCCAAGGAGTACAGCATCGAAGGGGAAAATATAAACTCGGTCAACATATTCGAGAAACTGGTCATCAAAGAGCCATTTGAATTCAGGAATATCACTTTCAGCAATCATCTGCACAACTTGCCATACAACGAAACTCTCTTCACTAAAAAGCTGGAGGAATATTTCTACAAGGGCCTACATATGACCTTCTGCAGGAAACGAGATGATACCCTCGCGATCGTAAGTATATTATCCAAAATATTATTAGAATTCAAAATACATATTATAATCCAGTCATTTGGTGACGGAAAACACTGGATTCAGGAAAAAATTTGCTAAAGAATTTTTCTCGACGGATCTATATGGTGCTGAATCTGAAAATCTAGTTATCGACTAGATTCGAATATGGCTTCACCACGAAATTCGATAAAACCATGAAAATTCGAGACTCATTTTGATTTTTTCTTATAACGACGTGATTTAGAGAAGAAATACATCATACAAAAATGAAAGCCTATATAATTTACTGTAAAACAAGATCGAAATCGGCTCGATATCTTGTTTGATTCAGCCGTTAGAGCGCCCTGAAAATTGACAATAGTTTCAAAGTTGTCCAAAATATTCGTATTTCAGATTTTAAATTAGTATACATCGCCAGTGTTTCCGCCTAGTGTGTCTGACCATGGAGTATCCTGAACCTATTTCCTCAATTTTTATTTCATGCCTTCATTTTTAATTTTCCTCCAAATCACAAATATACATCATTTACGCTTCATTCTGATTCTAGCACGAAAATGTGTCTAATACTTTTTCTATCCTCTTGGACTGCAACCAAAAATGACCACATGGCTCTATGCCAGCGTCATCAGGCCTATGATAGCATATGGGTCAGTAGTTTGGTGGCCAAAGACACAACAGGCTGGAGTGATTCGAAGGCTCAGTGCTATTCAAAGGCAAGCGTGCCTGAGTGCCACTGGTGCAATGAAAACCACTCCAACAGCCGCTTTAGAGGTCCTCTTGAACCTACCACCACTACAAATATATATTCAAGGCGAAGCCAGAGCAGTCGTGAGTAGATTGTCAAGGGGTCAAGCACCCATAAGCAACGCGCACGGTAAAGACTATATATAGGAAGCTATATGAAGAGTTGGAAAGCGACCCCATCATGGGGATGCCAACGGATGGCATAATTCCAAAATATAGCTTTGAAAAAACTTTTAAAATAAGTATAACGGACAGAGAGACATGGAAGGAAGGACCTCCTATCAATGCAGACATTGCTGTCTATACGGACGGCTCCAAAACTGAGGAAGGATCAGGAGCTGGTATTCATGGGGCCAAGCCAAAGACAAGAATCTCACTGAGCTTAGGCAAATACGCGTGAAAGAATTGATAAGGCAAGAGTTTAAAGGCAAAACCATTGCAATCTATTCAGATAGCCAGGCGGCAATCAAAGCAGTCAACACTATGCAAGTTAACTCAAATCTAGTATGGGACTGCTAAGAAACCCTAAATGCACTGGGCAGTCAGAACAGATTGACTCTAGCATGGGTACCAGCACATACAGGGTACGAGGGCAATGAAGAGGCAGACACTCATACTTGCCCGAGCAGGAGCAAACAAAGCTCTTAATGGCCCAGAACCCTTCTGTGGTATTGCGAAAGCTATACAAAAGACTAGTATCAAATTATGGATGCAAACTAAATCTCAAGAATGGTGGAACAACTCGCCAGGAATGAGACAGGCAAAAGAGTTTATTAAAAAATCATCGCCAACATTCACAGAATATCTACTAAGCCAGAAACGAAGTTCAACTAGAATACTAGTGGGACTTCTCACAGGGCATTGTAGGCTCAACAAACACATGAGTACGATAGGTCTGACTGAAGAACTGCTGTGCAGGTTCTGTCAAGAAGAGGAAGAAACAGCAGTACACATACTTTGCCACTGTGAGGGCTTGTCAAGACTAAGGTTCCTTACGCTGGGTGAGGAAAAACCAGGAGCCCAGAGATACACAGGAGATCTGAAAGCTAGCCTATGGAGTCTCATAGAGAAGGCGGGGCTAGCCGAAGAACTCTAATCGATTTTGAGGGCAGACACAATAGATCTGAAAAGGTCGCAGTGTGGAGGCAGATAGCCCGAAGGCCCCATTCCAAATCTAATCTAATCCTCTTGGAACAACCCCAATTATTGTCACACAGGTAGTTGCTGCTGAAAAAAAAGTTGAATAGGGCAATCCTCCTGCGCAATTACGATCAGCATAAACATATTTTTGCATTTCGAACTCCTTGTTTCCTGTGTGGTAATGAAATTCCGATAAACTGTGTTGCGAAACAAAAAAAGTTGACTCCATCTGCACGTGACCCTATATTATGGATTCAATTTTGACTTCAGACCCAATCAACGAAGGGCGCAGATTCCGTGGACAGACTGTAGGCTTTGAATGTCTGAATAACTTCAAAACTATGGTCAATCTTCAGCGTGCTCTAGCGGCTGAACAAGATGAGTTAGCGAGCTGATTTTTATCTTATTTTTTTGTAAATTTCATTTGCGTTTATTTTCGACTGTGCTAATTTTTCTCTATATCAAGTCGTAAAACTAAAACAACTCCCGATTTTTCATAATTTTCTGCCATTTTCATGGTGAAGCCATATCCAAATCTAGTCAATAACTGAATTTTCAGATTCAGCATCCCAAAAAATATATGGATCCTTGAGATAAATTCCTCAGCAATTTTTACCTGTCCATGCAAACTACCAAATGATTGAACTAATAGCTTATTATTGATTTAACAAAAAGAACGTATTCTTCATGAAATGTTCTGCATGGCCTAAAAACTAAAATGCAAATATCAGATATGTAATTTTTCCAGTCGTATACGAGGTATCTAAAAAAATATTGCTTTTGCTCAAGACTGAAGTACCTTTTATTTTGAAAAAGAGTTTACTAAAATCAAGAACTACGTTCAGATATCTAATTATTACATCGATCTTCGATGAAAATCAGGATCCACTATTTTTTTACAATTTCTGATCGATTCTCATGAAAAACTTTTCCATCTCAATTTTTCGGAAAAAAGTGATTTTCCAATGCCGGAAACCAAGAATGCAGATATCAGATTTAAAATTTGTTCAGTCCTATGTCAAAAATACTCAATTTCAGATATTTGAACGTAGTTTTCAATTATCGTCAACTTTTTACCATAACAAATTTCGATATTGTCGCAAATAAAGGTACTTTTTACACCCTTGGGAAAAATTATTGATTTACAAGTTAAAAAATATTCATATCTCATAATTGAATTTTCGGTTTAAGAACTTTGCAGAACATGCAGAACTTCTTATGAGGAATAACTCTTTTTAGTAAAATCAATACAAAAGTTTTACATATACAGGGTGTAATTTGATTGATGGCTGAAAATGAGAAGAAATGTTCATATAAACATATGCCCTAAACCTATTAACGTTCGAACTATAGGGTGTTAAAATTGTCTTCCATCAGGATTTGTTCTTAATGATATATTAGGAAAAATATAACTTCGTAAATTTTGGAAAATATAGAGGAAACTGCTGTTTTAACTAACTGTGGGTTTCTTAACAAATTGTTACCAATTGATCCATCTGGAAGAGGAAATGTATCATGTCTAATAATATATGTTTCAACGGAATAAATCGCACACACTGCTGAATGTTGAAATGTGGCCCAATTTTTACGAGGTATCGAAGATATCCACTTTTTTCGCAGTTCTTCATCTTTAGGAAAGTGAAACATCGAAACATATTTCTTTTCCGAAGCGTAATTTGACTTTACACCCTGTCACACAGCAATTATTTGGCATCTTCTCATGAGAAATAAGTCAACATCAAACACATAACCTCAATTCAAAAACATTTCTTGATGAGACTATCAGACATACACTAACACCCTTTCACCTTTCACTTATAACTCGATCACTATAATATTTCTTACACTTTTCACTGACTTTCAACAATATTTCACATTGATAATACGTCAAATTTACTCTCGAAAACTCAAAACCCACATATCGTATTTGTGCGAATGGCTGGAGGTAGACCTTTTGAACAATGTTGCCAGACTTGGCTTTCCTCTTTAAAGATGGCTATGGTGGTACAGTTGAATTGTTGATCATCCATCGCGTATATCTGTTGAATAATGGTCGACTGGTTGAGGGATACATAGTTCTGATGCATTGGAAATCCTATTTATATATATTATGTATAGATGACTGGGTATATAGAAGGCAATTTAAATTAAATTTCATTTTCAGAAAGAAGATATAGAACCACTACCAGATTTCGAGGAATACACACATAAAGAAAACATCCAGTGTAGCCATAGAATGAAGATATCGCTCACATTACTAGAAATGAACAATGGCTCGATTTCAAGTTTGAATACAGTCATCAATATTATCCCATTGATGTTGATCTCTGCTCTATTAGGAGCCTTGTTCACATAAATATCGCTCTTCATGCTTCATATCGATTTCATTCCAAAATTTGAACGGTATTATTCACAAAAGAAACTGGGGTTGTCTGATATTTTGTGGAAACTTGTTACACATTCACTTTTTGATTTTCATCATAGGTATTGATGAAAAATTTCAATATTCTGACGATAACTTCCCATCATTCCTTTAATAAAGAATAATCGTGTGTGTGTCTCAACAACCAAAAGTATCTATACAGGGTGATCCACGGTGGATGGCCTATTAGAAGTATCTGGAGAACGAAAAGAAAGAACATTCTGAAAATTGGGATGCTTTGATAATTGTGGCTGTATTTGTCAGAATGAATCACACATTTATAATAAATGCTTTTTATGCTCCGTGAACGTGAAATAGTCTTGTAAAATACCACTCTGTTATGAAAATCTCCTCAATTCTGTCCTTAATTGTACAGCAACACCACTAGTCCTGACGTACTCTGAACAATGAAGCGACAGAATTATCTGGAATATTCATAACATCCTGATATTATTGATGACAATTGAATTAAGTAACTAACTGAGTTTTCCAGCGACATATCGGAACCTAACATTTGAAACCATGACAACCAAATGATGAACAAATCTTTGTTGGCGTTTATTTTTTTTTTCAATCTTGCGTTGTCAGAAAAGTATCCAATCTGTGGAAATGTCACGATTTGGAGAGTTTTCGAGTGGAGAAATGGAAAAAACCATCAATAATAATGTGCTTAACGCATTCATCAAATCGTCTTACCGAATTACACTCAAGCAATTTTTTTGGTCGAAATAAATTCAACATTCATATTCATAATCCGAGTTTGGTTGACTTCAGGAGATTAAACGAAAACAACTTTTCGTTTAATTTCCATGCAAGGAAATTCTCATTGAAATGTAAAGTTTACTTCGACAAAAAAAGCCTCTCGTGTAATTACAAGTGGGAAATGTCCTGGAAAGTTACTCGTATCCTTACGGAAAATACTTTTGATTGTCCTAACACACCTACCCACTAAGCAAAGTTGAAAGCTATGTTCATGCAATGTTGAAGCAATTACTTAAACGGATGTTTAGCAATATTGCAAAGGTGAAGTTTGATAATGTAGCGTTGCAGCAATATTACATGTAGCTGTGACATTTCTCGAACGTTACATTTACTTTACATTTGCAATATTGCTGAACGTCCGTTTCAGTACAACCTTGCATTAACATAGCTTCCAAATTTGCTTAGTGGGTATAAGCTGAAAATGCCAAGTCATAAGAAGTCACTAACCAGTAACCAGTGCTCTCTGATAATGAGATAATCGAAATTGTCTTCAATTCTCGATTACGATTTCTGTTTTCTTTGTAATTATATAACTTCTCTACAAAATGTATGACTAATTTTTGCTTTTTTGTTGAATACACCTATATTTTAACTTATTTAATTTATTTAACATTGTTTTATTACAGAAATTGTTTTTATTCTTTATACTATCACCTGAACTGTATATAGTCATTGTACATATCAAATTTTACCAAATAATAAATTAAGTTAGTCTAAGAGCCAAACAGTGCTGTGAAGTCATGATATTCTTGTATAAAATTTTAAACATAGTCGTTGTGTCAGGAGTCAGAATTCTTATTTTCTTGTACTTTTTTCATTGATTCTCCAATTTCATCGTGTATACTTATACAACTTCACTACAGATCCTTATTAATCTTCGCTTGTAGTTTCTGACTCATCAATGGTAAGTTAATATTAGTAAAAGTGATCTTATACTTTATCTGTATAATCGATCCATTTATTTGTACTTTAATATAAAATGATGGTTCATAATTTATGTTTTATTATTTATCGACCTCCTTAATATTGTATTTTTTTCGATTAACTCGGAATCTACGAACTTGTCAAGAACCGATGACAATAGCAGAATTTAATAGTTATTTATTATACAAGGGAAAAAAGTAGTAGATTTTAGCTCCAGGTTGTGTTGTCTCCCGACGCGTAGCGAAGGGAGACAAAAAACCGTGAGCTAAATTCTAATATTTTTCCCGTGTATAATACACTATTTTTTTCTGTGACAGCAGAAAGGACGAATCAATATTGAGAAGATATTACATTATTTTGAAATCTGAAATTATCGACGTGAAATTTTAAGTTTTCGACAGTAGGGACACCTGCGTTGTAGGCATCTTTATCATTCTTTTGAAGTAATCAAATATCTGATGTCACTTCTGTCAGTCTAATTCTGTGATTTGATTTCAGAAAATTGCGAATTTAGTGGTTGTTTAGTAATATACGTAACCGCGAAGTCGAATGGAAGATAAAAGGACTTGCAGTTCTTTATCGGAGACGGTATTAATTGACTCATTTTTCGTAACTATAGCGGGAAAAAAGTTATTTCTGAAAAGTGACATTTAATGATATGTCCAACAAATAACGTCCTATGGACGTCCCAGTCGGTACTTTCAACATGTTATCCCTGCGAGGACGTTAACTTACACCTCGCCGACGAATGATTGCTCGTAGGCTATAAGTACTCCTCGTCAATGTCCTTCACGTTAGTCCATTGGACATCCTTGGGACACTTTCTGGGGACCTTCTACGGACCATCAACTCAACTGGATGTCCTAATCAGTTATGCAAGATCTGGTCCTAGAGGGACCCAGAGAAATTCAAATTCAAGAATAATTCGTACGTTCCTGGGACATCCTATGGACATCCAATTGATATCCCCCAGCGTTGTCCTATGGATGTCCCAAGGATGTTCTCTGTAGTGCTAGACGAGGAATATTGTAGGATTTAGGTATTCGATAGGTGTCCCAGGGGCATCCCTCAAGGACGTCCCTAGTTGGTCCACAAGTGAGACATTTGTGCGTCCCACAGACGTCCAATGGACGTCCACGGTACCAAATTCGAACGTCCTATGGACGTCCTGAATGTCGGACAGGTTAGGTTGGGTTAGGACGTCCTAAGGATATCCATGGGACATAAGTGTGTTATTATAGGGTAGTAGAAAATTACAAAAATGTTTGTTTTCTCTTTATTCGTCGAATAACTATTTCTGTTCAGCTACAGGATGAGATCTGGATAGTATCTAATCTACTCAACACCAGAAAAATATTTTTGCAATTTTCTACTACTGAAAATGATGAAATATTACTATGCAATCTTCTATTTTGGGTCGAATATCTCGAAAATTGTTAATTTCAGCTCAGTTGAAGGTGGTACATTTTTTGAACAAAATTGAACAATAAATTCGAAGAATTGGAAATAATCAAAATTTAATCAGTGGCGTAGAAAATATGGGAGGAAAAGTTACCACAACCCCCTGTAGGGCACCACTGGATAAAATGTCCGGAATGGCTTTCTGGTCAAAAAATGACCCATTCAAAGATGATACCATATACCGAAGTTGAATGCATTAATTATATTCAATTATTATTGAGATATTGCGAAACAACTATTTTTATTTCTTAACTTCAACGCCCTGTATCTCGAGATCTGAACACTTGGAGACCCTATGTTCCTATCTCAGTGATTATGAAATCACAATAAGGGCTATCATCTGTCAAGCGTTGTCAGTCGAATTTTGCAACACCCTGTATAGTCGCAGTTTTGTTGACTGTTACTGAATATTGAGAATGATTATCTGAAAAATATTCAGCTGATATATAGCCCTGGTATAATCAGGTAGGTAAGTGATCTCATGTCTCTCTCATTGCTCGTCGATTCCGGCGTATTCAAATTGTTTAAGTAGTATGATATAGTGGGTACATATATAGGTATATATGAAACGTATACTGTTTTCAGATTGTTCACTGATCAATCAATCATAAGTAAATAAACCTATGAGGGTATAGAAAGTTTTGTGTTTTTTCTAAAGACGTAGGTGCGGTAACATGAGTGTGGAAAATATAAATGTAACAGGTGAGCATATCGAATGTAAATAGCTTCTTTCTTTTCTAGATGTATATTTCTTTTTCTATATTATTGAGTGAAGAAATATAGATTTTTTTATGTTTTAATGCACGATATGAAAAGTTCATTGACATTTTCATCATCTTATTTCATATTTTTACCAGCGGCAAGAAACAGCTATTTATACAGGGTGCAATTCAATTGATGGCTAAAAATATATAGAAGCTCATTTCAGGAAAAAAGTTCATATGAACCTATGCCCTAACCCCAAACCTCTTAATTTTCGAGCTATATGGTATTAAAATTTGATATTGTTCTACAAACGTCACAAAATGATAAAGTTCGCGTACTAATAACAATGAACTCAACTGTATTGTTGCATAATAACGATAGGATTTCAAAAATGATTATTATTCTAGGAAAAAGCAAAGGAGTAGGTACAATTAAATTTCACCTTGTACATCAAGGGCGCAAAGGTACCGCGAAAAGGTCTCCATATTTTCTTCAGCGTGCAAAAGCGTTCGATCAATGCAATTTTTTCACATTCTACAATAAATCCATGGCTAACGATTCTAACGGCTTCTCCGCTGAATGTTACGCCACTGTGCCCCGACCCTGAATCATGATCCGGCGAACGGCGAACCTGGCAAGATGTAGATGGCAGATGCCTAATGAGACTAAAGAGTAATGAATTCGAAGAAGAAAGAGGGTCGAGGTCATAGTTGTTTACATGTCAAGTGGTTGTCAAAAATGGATCGAATATATTAGATTTTCTTCTCCATTGACTTTTTTCTCCGTAATTTTCAAGTATGTACTAAAGAATATTCTCTTTTCGAATCGTTTATTCTTCTGCGATGGAGCCATTACTAGATGTGAAGAAAGAAATCAAGGAAGAACCCATTGATACCAGGGGAGAATGGAATGAAAACCACCCTTGTGATAAGCTAAAAGTTGAAATATTAGAAACAGAATGTGAGAACCCGGAAAACCTTACTTGCAGAGAATGTGATGCTCTATTCATCAATGAACATGAACTCAAGTTACATCGGATGATACATTCAAAGAACCATACATGTTTCATATGCAAAGAGTTTGTGAAAAATAGATTTCAGTTCGTTGGTCATGTCAGAAAACATATGTGTGCAAAGCCCTTCAAGTGTCCTAGTTGTGAAAGAATTTTCCCAACATCTAGAGAAACTAAGCTTCACCAACGGGTACACAGTGATGACAGGCCTTTCATGTGTACAGAATGTGGAAAGGCCTTCAAGCAAATTTCAACTTTGAAAGACCATGAAGTTGTTCATACTGGAGAAAAACGGTTCAAATGTAAGGTAATGTATACTGTTATATTGACTCTTTGGGGGGTACCTAGTAAGACTTGTGTATTTCTAGATTTGTGAAGGGGCCTTTGCTACAGCTACAAGCCTGCGCCGTCATATAAGAGTTATGCATGAAACAGTAAGGTCTTTCCAATGTCATTTCTGTAAGGAGGGCTTCACAAGTAAACAAGCTTTGAAGCAACACATGGGAATACATAAAGATGTTGACCCATTGAAGTGTCAACTCTGTGGAGAAAGTCTGGAAACTTTAGAACAATATACATCACATAGAAATAAGCATATAGAAATGAGAAAATCTGGGAGTTGTGACTATTGTGGTAATAAGACCTTCTATTTTGGTCTTAAAGAGCACATTGAGAAAATGCATCAACCTAGATCATGTAATATCTGTAGTCTAGTATTTTATGATGAAAAATCAATAGATAATCACCAAAAGAGTCATTTAGAGGAGCCAGAACGAGAAGAGTACAGCTGCCATGTATGTAACAAACATTTTGAGTTCCCCAGATACCTCAAAGCTCACATGAAGCGCCATGAAATGGATTACAAAAAGTTCCAGTGTGATATATGCCAGAAAACATTCTCCTCAAAGAGAGACCTGACAGATCATTTGAATGTTCATGCTGATGTGAAGGATTACAAATGTCCAATCTGTGATAAAGCTTTCAGAACAAAGCAAAGTGTTAGTAAGCATATGCCAATACATTCTGAGAAACGCCCATTCAAATGCAACTTGTGTGAAAAAAGGTTCAAGAAGCAGTCTATCTTGAGAAAACACTCATTCACACATTCACGTTCAAGGCCGTTTGGCTGTGACTTATGTGAGAAAAATTACAAATCTAAGGAATCCTTGAGAGTACATAGACTGACGCACCAAAAATCAAGAATTAGAAGATGCAAAATTTGTAAAAAACATTTTACATTTGAAACCATCTACAAAAATCACAACTGTTTCAGCAATTACCGATTTGATATTAATAATCGTAGGTGTACTTATTGCAAACGGCTATGTAAAAGCAGTGTAACTTATTGTTATCATATACAGGGGCATGCTAGACAAAGGTTATTTAAATGTAGTACCTGTAATGTATTTTTGAAATTTCCATATCAAGTGAAATTACATGGGATCATGCATAGAAGCCAAGATAAAAATAGTTGAAAATCAGTTTCTTTCTGATAGTACTGATAATACAATAGGTAATATATATATATATATATATATATTAGATTTATTCCTATGAGAAAATATTTTCATTTGAATTGAAAGAAATATTTATTTCAGTTTCAATTACTTGGGTAGGTGAATAATTGGAATAAAATTTTATTTTGAGCCAATATTTATTAGTTCTAGTCTGAATGTTAATACTTGTAGATTTTGAGCAGTTATTGTTTTTGTTTTTCTTATTTATTAGAATGAATGTTCCGTTTCTTGAATTAAAAAAAGTGGGAAATTAATTTTTTTTGCCTCTACCCCACACTAATAATTATACTATGGAAACGGGAAAGGATTATATATGTTAGATTGAATGCGATTATATACGACTATATGACCGTCTATGACTAGACTAGTCCATACTAGTCGTCTACTCCTTAAAATACCATTTCTGGAGGGAAAGAAAGTTTTGTTCCTTTGACAGTGATGTAAGTTTGACGTATATATAGGTCGCGTGCACGATGACCGACCCTGGAGGTAAAATATTGAAACACAACCTCACTTTTCTGTAAAACATTGAAACACAACATCACTTTTTTTATTTATTCACAGAGGAATCAAAGGAATCATACGAATCGTGTTTTTTGCGCTATTCATTGATTCAAGCATGCCTTCTCATTGTGCTCTGTGTTGTACAATGCACAAAAATGCAGCGAGAGACGAAGAAATATGATTTCTTTGAGTATAGTAATTTCACATAGTTTTCATTATGTCATTTCTTATTTAAATTCCTTCTGCCACTTCTGCAATGAAGCTGCTTTAATACTGCCAATAGATTGAAAATGTCTACAATACACACGATCATATTTCGTCAGCATGTATGACCAGTCCTTCCGTTTGATTGCATGAATTCAATCTTCTTGCATTATTCTATAAAATTCATGATTATTTCTATTAGCTCCTATTGCAGAAGGAATTTCGATGAGAATCAGAAAACAATTAATCATCAAATTTCGAAATGAAAACTATATTATGTGAGTGACTTAGTTACTATTATGGTAGGTAGGTACTTTCAAATCATAATGTACCTACTGGATTTCATCATTTTCCGCTGCATTTTTTGTGCATTGTACAAACATCACAATGTGATGTCATGCGCGAATTAAGCAATAGCAAAAAAACACGATTTGTATATTTGTTTACAGAGGAATCAAAGGATTGAAATAGTTTTCCACATTATTTTGGCATACGAATTGTGTTTTTGCGCTATTCATCATTAATTCAAGCATGCCTTCTCATTGTGCTGTTGTGCAATACACAAAAAATGCGAGATGATTATTTGAAATGTTTCATAAAAACAATATACCTATTTGATTTTAAAATATCACCCACTTTTTAAGAAGTCACCACATTCCTCCATCGTTTGTCCCGAAATATGTAGGCAACAAGTTATACTAGACTCAGTTGTATATGATCTAAGGTTTCAAATGCATCATCTGTATGATCTAAGGTTTCTATCCGACAGTTGCATATTACTGTTCTGTCCCTTTTGTGCTTTTACATTTTGAACACAGAACACTAATATTGACTGTGACCAGAGTGACAGGACTGACATGTGACAGTGAAACTTGTTATCTAAATAAAAATCAAAATAATAAATAATACTAATAATAGAAATAAGTGATAATTTTCGTCCATTTCGTCATTTCATTTTCAAAACGGTCGTGGTACTAGTAAGGTGGTTGATAATAATTCCGATTGTCATTGTGAATCTGCTGGTTTCGTTCTTCTATCGATAGTGGAAATCTAACAACAATTTGTGGTAATGTAATTACCTAGATTATTGCATAAATTTCTTAGACGTTCTGATAGATAGCAAATCTGGCGACTGAAATCAGATATAGGATTGGAATGAGACTGATTTTAAAGAAGTTCATTATCCATACATCTTCAGATCACTTTTCGGAAGACGTGAAAAATACTGAAAAACATACTGCCATTTAGTACACTATCTGTTGAGGAAGTGGTTTCAAATCTAAAGTATTATTCAGGAAGTATTATCAATTTCTTCATTATAAAAAAGTCAGGCTCCACCTTTTGAACATGGCATCAAGGTTCCAGTTTGCTGGTGAAAATGTTTCTGAAGACTGCAAAGGTAAGACTCAATCAATATATATATTTTTAATATTCCACTATATTTTCTTTCTTTTGAAACTTGCATGTTCTTATTTTATCCCATGTGATTACAATTTCCTATAGTTTCAATAAAGTTTCAGCTGGAGTTTCATTCACTACATGACCTAAAATCGACCTAAAATGATTACTCTAATGAGGTCAACTTGAACTTAAATACCCACAAGCCTACCCATCTTGTAGATGCATTTCTTCAAATTCTTCATTTTTCATTAATTTCCTTACATTGTTACAACCTATCTCAGCCCAGATCTCAGCTCATACCTCAGCACAAACCTACATACAGGTTGTCTCAAAATCTCAACGTCATCCTTTGGAAGTTTTGTACCTGCAGCACTTGAAATACTGATCAATGGTTTTGATTTTCATGAAATTTTTAGAAATGTCAATATCTCCAAAACTATCAATATTTTACCAAGTATTTTACTGAGGTCATATTGTGATATTCTGGTCATTCATGAACTGTACTATCAGCCCTTCAAAGGATGAGGTTGAGTTATGGGACACCCTGTACATATAGGTAAATCAATCATCCATCATGTACTTTTATTCTCAGAAATAAATCTCCACCTGCAATGGAAGGCTCCAGAATTATATGGAGAAAAATTATTATATTTTTTATTTTTGCTTGAAATGAATATCAAACAAAAATTAAACCTCATACAAGTTGAAATTGAATCAAATGTCATAAAGTGTTTTTTTCTATGGCTATAACACAAAATTTATCTTGTTTCACTGTGTTCAAGAAATCAATGGGGTACTTTGTAAGTCATCAATATCATTTCCTTATCTGATATCACAATGACTTCATTGTGGTATTATATCACAAAATCTCATCTCCCATGAAATGTCAAATATTCCAAATTTACCACGCATTACTTAAGGGATAATCAGACGGCTACAAGCTCAAGAAATCAAAAATTTCACTATTATCTGTTACAGCCGTAAAAGAAGTATAGTGTATAACTCGCATGGAATGCTAATATTCGATTCATTCATAATTGACTCATATTATGTGATGATGTAAATTGTAGATTGACTTTTTTCACTGGGAACATTTCATAATTGCATATTATACATCTCCTTATACATACAGGGTGAGTCAAAAATGTGTACGGAGCATTCTGGAGGTGATAGTACATCGAAAAATATGTATGGTTTGATGAATAAACTAATAACCCCAAATGTATATCAGTTCTGAATTTCTGATATTATTTTATAGGGTGTTTTAGAGGTTGGGTCATGATTTTTCGAATACAACTTTTTTCCTCTTATTCTCTGTGGGTAAAAAATGGAAGCATTTGAAAGAGTGAACAAAAATATATGAAATACAAATATTGTAACCGTTCTCGAGATATTTGAGTTCTTGTAGCCACATGAATGAATATTCAGAATCCAAAACTCTGGTAATATTGAATTTCTTCAGATACTTCATGTTTATAAACTTTTATGTCACAAGCTCCAATTCCAATACTGGCATATTATGAAATAAATGATTGAACGGAATTATGGAATGAATTTTCATTACTCATTCTACCTGATTTTTCACACCATACCACGAAGAAACATAATAAGAGGATTCAGGTATAGGAAACTACCTACCACCGCGGTCATGCTGTGTACACGGAAAAAAAGGAATTGTTGAATCAAGCAAAATTCAATTGAATGGAGCAAATAAAAGTGTCATATATGCACCTCAAAATATAATCTTAAAATTAGTAAATCTATATCTTCTTCAATCAAGCACATCCATGAATTGCTTATATGAAGAGATATTGAATTGGCTCAAACAATCATTTTGTTTGATTCAAAATAACAAGATATTGATTCAATCAAATATTTAGTTGATTCAACGAAATATTTGGATGATTCAATGAAATATTTGTTTAATTCAATGAAATATTTTGTTGATTCAAGAGAAACTATATATCCATTCGACAAATTGTTTTGTTGAACCAAATTCAATATTCGGGAATTTTCTGAAATTTCACATCAATCGAATAAACAAAACTAAGAAACTAGTCGACTCCTAGCATAGATGTTTAGTCTTTACTCCTCTTTAGCTGATGGAAAACTATTTCGGATTGCTAATCATCCTAAGTTCGTTTCATCCAGCTGATATTTCAAACACGAAGTATCAGGCTTCACGTATATAATGAATTCGAGGCAGGCATAGACGAGGCGAAATGATCGCTATCTAGAGGCGAAAATTCAAGTTGATGTAAAATGAACAAAATGTTTCATTGATATTACATATTTCGTTGCTCTATTCAAGCAAATGATCCGTTCGAAACGAGTTCATTGCTACATCGGAATAAGAAAACTTGTATGTTGATCCAAAGATACATTCTCATCAAAATGATCATTGTTTGATCGAATCAACGAAATGTTTATAGTTGAATGAACATCGACATTATTTTGGATCGCCATTATTTGTTTTTGACATAACCATATATTTTGTTGATGAAATTGATATTATACAGTTGATTCAATCAGACTACATTCTTGATTTGAACAAGCTGCTTCCATGAAATAATCATGTATCTGGTTGATTCAACAAAAAATTGCTCAGTCCAACAAAAATAACTCAAGCAACAAATCCTTTTTTTCCGTGTAAGTGTAATAAAGATAGATATAGTAGTCCGTGGTCATAAGCAGATATTTCGAAGAAATCACGACTATAGAGTTCCTGAATGTTCTTGACACTGCTGTTTTGACGTTTTTCGTACATCAATCATGACAAGAGTCGTTACGATTTATTTGGGATCGGTACTCATTTTTCACTCACACTGTATATCTTAAGTCAGACATTATGGTATACATATTTGATTTTGGATGAGTAGAATGGAGTGAAATGAATGCAGTTAAGTATAACAACAATATAACAACAATGCTCTCAATACTATTTATATCATAGAAATAATAACCTTTAAGCTCGCCTTTAAGTGTTTTAATCTCGGTTATAATGATAAGTGAGAATTTTCAAGTATGAAACTACATCAAATCATGTTTCAAATGTTACTTATTGAATAACAAACTAATTTGGAAACAAAAAAAAAACGAGGAAAAAAACTATTATACCTGGTGGGTGTTATTTTGATACTTGCCAAATGAATAATATCGTCTAAAATTAGAATGAATGTCTGTTCTCCCATTTTGTATTTTTGACTTGCGCTTCTGCACTTTGGACTCAATGTGAAACCATGTGGTTTATTTCAGAATCACTGGCACACTATAGAATGTTAGAGGTGAAAATAAACATTATTTTCTTCAAATAGTGAAGTATAATTCAACATTTTCCCAAGTGATCCTCGCTAATAACATTCCAAAAAATTCTACCTCCTTTGGGATATTACAGTTACAGACATTTATCTGTCAGTTTTTGTTGTTGTTATCGTTGGATGAAATGTTCTAAAGAATTGATAATGATAAGAATGCTCCCTGCCATATTTTGCAATCCATGTTGATAGCCTGTTAAATTCGGAATATTTCATCATGGTCATCAGATACATTTCAGAGGTCCATTGATGTTGAAATTGATAAATGTTGATGATTATGATTGTTTTTTATTACCAATTAACAATACCCGACTACCCTAGGTATTGTATTGTAGTCTCGATTGTAGTGTTTTGTTATGGAAACAGTATCGTTATCACACTATTCACTTTTTAACTCGCTTTTTAATGTACTTATTTTGTTCATATTCCGGAGATTTAATCTAGTCATCAAGGACTACAAGTTCATTTATTATTCGCTGTTTACTTCACTCCATTTATTGATGTTGACAGTAAAGAAAGATCGGCTGATTTTATCTCACAGATATACCTACTTCAAGGAGTAGTTACTTTTATCTCCGATAATTGCCATTGAAAATATTTTTACTATAATGTTTGGAGTACCGAACTGTGGTAACGAATGTATCATATAAAATATTATTTTACACGCCAATGGATTCCATGGTTTATCCCTAGGTTTATGCAGTGATTAGAAAAAATAATTAATTATTTCCATTGAGATCAGTTTGTAATTGTTTTGCAAAAAATCAAGGAAAGAAAAATTTTTGTCATACCCTGTTTGTCAAAGAATCATTTTGGATAATCGATTGTCTCGAAGGAACCCGAAATACTCTTAGAACATTCAGTAACGAACATTGAATGTATATGGAATATGTTTGAATCATATTGTTTTTATCGATTTTTTTTAGTTATTCAACCAGAACTGTTCATTATAATCCAAACAGGTCCAAAGTTTACTTGCAAACAAAAAACAATTTTATCATTCATGTTAGGTCTCGGGTTAGGCGAGTCTGTAGGATATAAAACTTTGTTGACTCAGTTCCATCCAAAGAAATAGTCCTTCAAAAAATGTAGAGTGTGTCTTGTTGATGCTTATAAAGTCTAGTAGGTATAAAGTTGAAATTGTTTATGTCGTCTAGTATAGCCTTTTCAAGGTATTGGATCCTCGATTGGATCAAAAATATTCTACGCTGAATCCTATGAATCACCCTGTTTATTATTGTAGAAGAGGAGGATTAACAGATGGCCATTCGATATTCCCCTCTGGGGCCTCTGTTCGTGGTAATATTTTTTCACCTGGTTGATTTGATCATTCATAGACCTTCAATTTTATGTATCTCAAAGTAGGGGGTGCCATTTGAAATTTCAAAGTAGGGGTGCCTGGGGTGAAGGGGATGAACATGGCATTCAATTGATACTGTTATTTTACTTCCCCCTCGATATCTAAATCGACCTGTTTCTTCCGAAAACTGTAATCTTCGCAGATCAGAAGATATGCAGGGTAGTAAGTTTTGAAATGAAAGCCCTGTATAATAACTCTTCAATTCGCTGAGGTGTCAAAAGTTTTCGATTTCTCAGGTTTGTATCCATATTCTGACTGCATTATTTTGCTCTCATATGAATATTGTGTTTTACATTTATTGTCATTGATTGATTGATTGATTGA